AATTACAAATGGCCTTGGAGGATACCTTTAAGACGCTCTGGGCTTTCAGGAGCTCGCTTTGGATTGGAACATTTCAGTGTGGGTGGCAGCATTTTGGACTGGCTGCTGCGTGGTAGCTACATGGGGAGTGGTGCTGTGACAATGGTTGAAATGTAAATGCTGTCACCCTGAAACAAGACAGCGGGCTCATGATCCTAGGTGCTACTCCAGCAGCACAGCAGCAGCACAGGCATGGCACATCAGAAATCCCGTAATCTGTTGGAGAACAATTGCTGGACAGCTGTAAAGGCAGCAGTTTGAATATGTTTAGGAACAAGCCATGACCTCAATCGGAGCTTCCACTGCAGCAGTGAGGCATTGAGAGCTTTCCATCTGAATTGTAATGGAAATTGAAACACTGCATTATGGGCTGTGTGTGCTGTTGTCACCTTAGAGTTGGCCACCATTTCTATGGTGGAAAGGATAGGCTCCAAGCCCTCATCAGTGCACGCACCATGCTCCCTAACACTGCCAGGAAATTTGGTGGCTGACCTGCCAATGCACCAAGTCAGCATACTGTTGGCTTCCCCAGTGACGTCCTCATTTGAGTTCCCTCGAGCAGGTCATGTGCACAACCGTCCACCAGAGAAGTGAAACACAGATTATTCCTTCTCTGTTGTCCGAGTGCAGCCGACTTGTATCCAGTGACTCACCGTGTACAGATTCCAACTTGCATCGGAATTTTGCACAATGCCAGAGCCTAAGGTGATGAAAGTTAGTGCCAGAACAAGTGATAGTTCTATTTCTCTAATGGTGTGGCATTGTTTTCACCCTTCCTCCAGATGCTTCTCTGGTTGGGCAGGCAGCGGTTCTATGGTATCTGAAAGCATGAAATCAGAAGGGGAACGTTGGATTGAGGCAAGGGAAGTTGAGATGGAAAGCAGTAAGTTTATTTCCATACCATTTACAGCTTGGTCTTCAAACCTGAAAGCAGGATGAAGGTGAGGTAGGGTTTGAGAGTGACCATGTGGGAAGAACATAGCATTGACCTCAAATGTTCTTGATACAACTGGTTCCATTGTGACCAGCCGCATGATGCAGAGAACCATTTCCTCCATGGGCTCAGCGATACAGGCATACTTGGCCTCTGTCAGTTTTGCTGTGCTCCTATGATAGTATGTGACATTATCCTGCAAGAGAGGGAGAGAAGAATGTCAGTGATTACCTTGCACAATGGTTGGTGATGGGCCTGCCATTGCTGAACCAATCCTCTTTCCAATCTCTGCTAAGGCTTTCAGCATTGCATCCACAAATCACAGAACACTCTGCTTTCCCCAGTGACCCATTTCTTTAGATTACTCTTGCAAGCACCTGCCCAAGAAGCAGCTTTAGCAGCTCGGTCTAATGAGTGTAGCTCCCTTTTAAGAGGTCTGCCTTTAAGAGGAATAGGCTAGGTGAAACACGTGCACACTCTGAGGTCCTCTGTTAAGCCTTCGACCAGCCAGAAGTGAGAGTGTCATTCCATTTAATCCCACATTCATTGAAACGAGGAGCCAGCACAAAGTTTGCTTGTTTCCTGCCTCAATAGGATGAGGAGGGGATTACACTGAAACCACAACTCCCGTTTCTGAAAATAGGCTTTCGAATTTCTAGTCAGAAGCATCTTAACGCAAGCAACTATTGAGGCAGAATCGGCAATATAATTTGAAAGGAAATCCAGCTATTACTCAAATGGAAATACAAAAGAACATGGGAGTAGCTAGGCCTTGGGAAATCCAAACACCGACACTGACATTCTGCGCCAAATAGCCTCAATTCATTCTATATAATCATGGGATAATACACCATAAAGGAGACAATTTGGCACATTCTCCTGGTGCTGTCTCTTTAAAACAGGTACCTAATTATATTCCACATGGTGTATATTTTCAATAGCTCTGCAGAGCTTTCCTTTTCCAATAACTTGTTGCCCCTGAGAAAGTTGACCCAGCATGAAGAAACCTTCAGTAAACTTCCAAACCGTTGCACAATCCATGGCTGAGGTTCTGCTATCTGAGGAATCTGTTAACGCAAGACATATCTGATCCCAAGGCATCCATGAACATTGTTAAAGTTTGCCATCCTGACACACCCCAGCAAGCTTGTATATTGCAAATCTATCACTATAATTCGGATCATAAAGCACAACTTGAGGCTCTGCTACCATTTCAGTGGCACACTGGCTCAGTGCTTAGCTTGGGCAACAGTCTGTGTGGAATTTGCACATTCTCCCGTGTCCATGTGGGTTTGGTCCAGGTACTCCGGTTTCCTCCACAGTACGAAGATGTGTGGGTTAGGTGGATTGGCCATGCTGAATTGCCCATAGTGTCCAGGGATGTGCAGACTATGTGGATTAGCCATGGGAAGTATAGGGTTACAGGGATAAGGTCGGGGCTGGGGGGGGGAGATGCTCTTTGGAGAGGCAATGTGTACTCGATGGGCCAAATAGCCTACTTCCACTTTGTAGGGATTCTATGATTAATTGATTTCAGCCATGGAACAACAGCACAAGCACAGGGCCAGACAAATTCACTTGTAAAACACCAAGATGTGAAATCAGCTTCTGAATAACTCAAATTAAATCAGGTATTTCTCATAAGTCATCTAAATGTTTACAGAAAACATTCTAGCCCATTATCTGCAAAAGAAAAAGAGCTCTTCTGCTCTCATTTGAGATTAAAGTTGTATCTCATTCTTCCAAGGTCGATATTATCCTCATTCTTCTCACCCCGACACCCAAAGCACCCTGCATCTTCAAGCTAATGAATTAGGTCATAAATGCTTTCATGTCTGCTGTTGTGCAGCACCAGTGCAGAGGTTTACCCCTGAACTCAACATTATACTATCTTATAGGGCTAATTGGCAAAAACCTGTTGGTTTTATCTCAGTCCACTGGAAAGAAGGCTTTTGCACCCTAAGTTGGTGCATCGTACCAAAATACTTCGTAGGCTTCTGTGCAGTTGGATTTACCACAGCTTTCAGTCATGTGTTCCCACTGGGTGTTCACGCTCTATACAAATTTCTCCCCGGGCTTCCTCTTCTAAGATTATCAGCATTCCTTTTTCCTCATGTAATGATCTTATTTTCCCTGTCATGTGTGTATACTATTTACTTCAACTCCATTTGGTAGAAAAGCCATATTCTAAACAAATCTTTGGAAGAAGAAGCTTCTCCTGAGTTCCTTCTTGGATTAGTAGGGACTACCTTATGTTTAAGAACTCCAGTTTTGAACTCGTCCACAAGTGGAAATATCTGGTCTCATTTTATTGATGATTGTTAGGTGCTACCTCCAGGGCTGAAGTGGCAGTGACCACGAAAGCACCTCCTGCAGAACTCACTGGGAGGTTGCAAGGGGTTAATCATGCTCTTTCCAGTTTGCAATGGGCCGTGCTAATGTGAGCAATTTAGGAGTGGCCCTTAACTAGCACCTAAGTGACTCAATTGGTCATGCAGTGTTTAGCCAAGCTGCCATCTTTTCCGCCATTAGCACTATGGCTTAGCAGCAGTAAGCTACTGGGTCGCCCTCCTGATGCCTTCTCACACTTTACCGAAGGCAACCCACCTCCCAGCCTATCAGCAAAGGGCTGAGAAAATTCAACCCATCTTCTCTAGATCTGTCCTGTCAAACTGCTTCATACTTTAAACCTGAACCGGGCAATTCTTCAGCCTTCACTTTTCCACAGAAAACCTCCACACTGTTCAGTCTTTCCTGATTAATTATAATCACTCAAGATCTTCCTATGACTCTCTTTTTTGCATATTCTGCGATTGCTCTGTAAGTCTTTCAGAAATATGGTGAATAGAACCATGCAGAGTACTCCAAGCGCATTTCATACAGATAGTCACTGAAAAAAAAGGAAACAAGCAGAAAAAAACCCAATGTGTATCAAGAAATGTGCTGTAGACAGACAGTGCAATATAGCCAATTGACCTGTTTTTCCTATTTTTTGGAAGGGAACAGCTTCCGTGTAACTGTAGGGTAAGCTGAAGCAACCAAACAAAGAAAACTTTTGTCATGTGTGAACTGCAGTGAAAAGTATGATACATTTTGATGATCTATAACATTTGAAGTTTCCTCCCCTTAAATGAACCATGTCAGGAATGACTTTGAAATTTTGTTGATTTTTAGAAGCTTGCAGCATTTACTTCCTGGTTTCCTGAAACATATTTAAAGGAATTTCAATTGTTTTGACTTCTATGTTTCTAGGATGACCAAGTGTTTATAGTCAGGTATCACACAGAAGAATGCTATAGGCAGCTCTGAGGATTAGATCTTCAATTGAGTGCTAATGTTGAATACCAGTACGTAAAAATGTCCTCATGTTTAATGTGTATTTTCCAATAGCCAGAATTATTTAGAAAATTGCCCAGGTTGCAATTTAAAAGGTTTCATATAATCAAAAAACTGAAAAGAAAACATGAAAAATAAAATTAATTTGTCCTTACCTGAAATGACTTCTACTTATAGGAAGTCTCAAATTTAAATCCTTAAGCATAATTCTGCCTCAAACAGTAATTTCTGCTTGAGTAACACTATCTTTAGGAACAATTTCTTGCAGTAGAGATTGACCTTTCAGACTTCCAGAAGAGGTTACACCAGGAATTAATGAAAATGCTTGCTGATATTGTCATCAGCTTCCTTGGAAAAATAGTCTTATACACTATCAGAATTGATAAGTTTGATAATTCCTGAACAATACAGTCAAGATGAGAAGCACTGTTTGATAATAGGGACAATAACAGACAAAGTATCTTACACGGTAGAGAAAGAGAACCTTATATGTAATTGCCTTAAAGAAATCTCAACAAAGTTGTTCAATAGTTCTTACAATTGGTGATCTGAAGCTATTCCAATGGCTGCTAAAAGTGGAGTTGCTCTAGAATGATTTCTGTGGCTGTTATAACTATATTTATTTAAGATAACTAAAATATAACTTACATTAGTATATTCCCTGAACTACTGTCATGAATATATATGTTACCTTTAATTTTCTTAGCCACAGTCACATCATAACTTTTTGCAGGCATATCAGGATTAATGGGCAGCAGCTGTCCAGCTCGTGTCCCAGTATGTGGATCGCTCGCTGAGATGAAATCTGGGAATACTGCAAACTTGGAAATGTGGGAAAAGTATGGGTGTTCAGCTGGAAATGGCAGCAGTATCTGCTTCTGACTAAAAACAAAAAGATATAACACATCCTATGAAGAAATTAAAACAAAATACAGGAAAGTCTAAGCAATTGTAGAAATGTTGCAAATGCTGAAGGTTGGGACAACTTTTGCAGGAGTAAGAGCATCCTGTAGAGTTTGTTGAAGTTCCCATTTAAAGATTTAACATCTCTTTCTCTTCCAGATTCTGACCAATGTGTTGTGTACTTTTAATATTTTCTGCAGTTATTTTATTTACTTTCATAAACTTGGTATTTTCTCTGGGATTGGCACTGTATTCCACAGCTGAAAAAGGTCAGTTCATTCTTTAGCTACTAAAATGTTTCATTCTGTTTCTGAACTGTGACTGATCCTTCCAAAAGAATGGATTTCTATTGCTTTCAAAGGCATTTATTATTGTCAAAGCTTGCTCACAAACATTACAGAGGCACTTTAAAACAACTCCATTATTTAATGTTTTACGCAATAGACATGAACTACTACACGGTTAATGTAACTCACAGAAAATGGCATTCTCAAATGTTACTTTATGCTGCGCATAAGGACGTTGAGAAAAAAAAAAGTCAGTAAGCCAGAAATTATGCTCTAATTTAAGGACAGATCACAGGCCTTTGGGATGTACTTCATATTAACAGAAATTACATAAAGTAGTAGTTCAGTAATGGGACCATCTTGAAATATGAACGCACAGGACTGTATTTTGTGAAATCACAGCAATGATTCCTCAGATAAATTACTGAACAGAACAGTTGCAGAACATTAAAACAACAGAAAATGTCTTGATTTGTATCATAATGAAGTAATGGTGAAGAACTGAAAGCAGATTAATTAATAAACTCTGGGGTGTGATCTGTTACTGACAAGGGAGTAAGAAAGAAGTCCACAAATTGCTTCAGAATGTGATGTTAGGAAGGTTCGGGGTTCAATCTTGGGTGCTTTCTGAGTTAGTTGATCTGAACCAAGAGTTCCAAGAATGAGGAAGCTGTCTCAATGCCTTTGTAGTACAATGGGATAAACTGCAATAGGCTTGTGACTCTGGCTAAAAGTTGGCTTGTGTGGCTATCAGGATCAGCTGTGGTCACATTGGGTGGGTGACTGGAGACTTACTGTTGCCCATGAAAGTGTTTCCCTGCAACCTATCACTGTGTTTGGGTCAAATTCCTCTGCCATTGAAATTGGCATCAGTAATGCCCTTAAAAAAGTGATAATGTATTTGCCACTGGTCCAACAAAGAAGTAAATTGATTCCTAGGTGGGAATTTAATTTCCCATCAGAAAAATTTAAAACAACGTAGGGACCATTGCAATCATCTATTTAGTGTCTTAACAAGTTTTATAATTGTTATAACATTGGCAATGGCTGCTAATTCACCTGGTTTTGGAAAATCCGTACATTATCTACTTATCTGAGTGACAGCCTTTCCCAACTTATTATGGTATGGCCAGACAGGCTGCTCAAAATGGCAGATTTAGGAAAACTGGATAATAAATAAAGCATGCTGGGAAACTGAGCCAAGCATTGGCCAAAAATATCTGTGTTAAAAAGAAACAAGCTGCAGACCCAGACACGCTGCAGCTGCAGACAGCATAATATACAATTGGCCCAGCCCATCTCCAGGACAAAAGGGAAACATTGAGTTGTTTCCAGAACAAAGGGGGACCTCATACACTTATTTGGGAAAGGCTACCTGACCTATGTGCCCCTAACACCTTCAGGAATGGAGGCCCAAGGACTACCCCACCATCAATATATCAACGCCTGATTGGTTCCAATCAATCAGGGAGATCAAGCCGTGACTGATCCATTAGTATGAATCGAAGATCCTCCCAAAAGGACGCGAAAGCTTCCAGGTACAAGAATCGCTGCAATACCGCCCTCGGGAGCGGTAACTTGAGACCAACAAACATGAAGAGGAGACAACCCTGGGACACCGGGGGAAGAAGACCAGGTGATCTTCACCACATGGATCAAGGCCAAGATCTGGTACGGTGGTGTTTGATCATTCAAAGTTAAGTTAAGGTATAAGATAGTTAATTGGATTTATAGTGTTAATTGTTAGTTTGGAGTGTATTTTGTTACTATAGTATTAATTGTGTTGAAGTAGGTAAAGGTAATTTCTTATTACTATTAAGAGTCGACTCGCAGTTTCTTTGCTGGATAAAAGGGTTAAAACACACTGTATGGCAGGTGCAACAGTAGCACATCTCAACTTAAGGGAGAGCAAATGAGTATGCTATTGAATCTATTCACATTGGGGAAATCTTCCTGCCTCCATATTTGCTTGTATGGAACAGTTGTGATGTAAGTGGATTTTTTTATTTATTAATATCATTTATTTTAGAGTTTAGATTTGAGCAAGTGGCATACGGGTTTAGGCCTGTGTATCTGAATGATTAACTTAAGTATTCTGTAGCCATGACAATTTCTTTCAAAAGAAAAGTATGAAAGAGATTGGAGCCTAATGGGAATTTGTTTTCATTGGAAGTCTTTCAGTTTAGAAGATTCTGGAAATGGTTTATTTCAGAAAGCTTGAAAAAGCTTTTGGGTTTTACTTTGGCAGTTTTATGTACGTCTTAGTTGCAGTTAGGTGTGTAAAACAGTTGTTCCTAAAGAAGAGAGAGAGTTTTGCACTGTTAATAAGTCACAGACCTCAGTGTAAGGCGTTTAGTTATAAAGTTCCAGACCAGAAATGTTTGGTTGAAAACAATAAGAGGTTATCTGAAGCTGAGAAAGTCTATGCTCAATTTTATGAATGCTCAAGGAAGAGGATATCAGATTCTCAGACCGGTTAAATTTTGGCACATGTACCATACATGTCAAATACAGGAGGAATTTCAATCCTCGATTAGACCTGCACATTTAATTCTGATATCAGTTTTTGAAGATGCATTAAGCAGAGCCTTCCCAGGTTGTGTAGGACCAGGATTGGGGTCCAAGATTTTTTGTCAATTATGAATGTTTCCAAGGGTTTTCTGAAGCAGTGTCTTTAGGGAAAATTGCTGCAAAATGGTAGTTGAAAAACTCGATTTTTTTTGAAGATATGGATTACTCAAAAAAATACAATCTAACAAGGTTCAAATTTTAGTAGCAAATATGTAAAAAAAATGATAATTTGGAAGTAAAATAATTTATACCTTCTGTTTATCACCTGCAATCTCAAGGTGCATTGGAAAGATGCCATCAAACTTTGAAGACCACATTTAGAGTTTATTGTGAAGGATGCTGTAATGATTGGGATAAGGGTATTCATTTTTTACTATTTGCTATTAGGTAAGCTCATTATGAGTCCACAGGTTTTAGTCCTTTAAAACTAATAGGTTGGCATGGTGGCTCAGTGGTTAGCACTGCTGCCTCATGGTGCCAGGGACCCGGGTTTGATTCCAGCCTCGGGTGACTGTCTGTGTGGAGTTTGCACATTCTCCCCGTGTCTGCGTGGGTTTCCTCCGGGTGCTCCGGTTTCCTCCCACAGTCCAAAGATGTGCAGGCTAGGTGGATTGGCCATGCTAAATTGCCCATACTGCCCAGGGGTGTTTGGGTTAGGTGGGTTAGACAGAGGAAATTAGGGGAATGGGTGTGGATGGAATGCTTTTCAGAGAGGTGGTGCGGACTTGTTGGGGCGAATGGCCTGCTTCCACACTGTAGGGATTCTATGATTAATATACAGACATAAAATGAGAGGACCATTTAGAACAATTAAAGAAAATTAATAAACTCAAGCTCAGAAACAACGCTTCCAATCTATGGTTGCATTTTCAGAAAGAAACTGATCAGGGTATTTGAGTTGGCTAAATGTATTGAAAGATGCTCAAAAAACAATGAAAACCAAAGCAGATGAAATGGCCAAAGTTCAAGATTTTTTTTGCTGATATCAAGGTTATTAGCTGTCTCTGGGGAACCATTGAACGCAAGGCCCACTGGAATATTATCAATATCAAAAAAAAATTCAATGATGTGAGTTAAATAATGAGTACAGACAGGAGAAAGAATCAGCAAGTATGTTAATATAACACATTGAAAAGATATAACAGGGATGATAGGAGAAAATTATACTTTCAATATTGGAAGAAGTAGGGAGTGAAATAGAAAGATGAGAACAATTGGAGAAAATGAATTGAAAACTGGAAGCTGACCCTCTGACAATTAGATTGGAAACTTGGGAGTACTTAAAAAGATTAGAAAGTATCACGTTTTATTTACCAGAATACTACTGCATTGACTTATGAAAGCTGTTACAGAAACATAAATCAATTTGTGGGAACAGGCCAGGAGAAATTGTTTTGGCTGTTGATGATATTAATGTGTGGGAAATTAGCTCAAGTCAGAGAAGAGATTCAGTTCATGATGGACAATGACACTATTTAATTGGACCACAGTAGCTGGAGCTCACCTATCATCATGGTGTCAAACCTGGATGGCTCACAAAGATTCTGTATCCATTATTGCAAAGTCAACATGGTCATGAAAATGAACTCAGATCCTATTCCAAGATTAGAAAACTAATTACTGCTTGATCCTGGGACCTTTCATATTACTGGGGTGATTGGTTTGTCTCCCCTGAAGATGCCCACTATCATATTTAGTGCATTTATATTAAAGTTCATTATCTGATACATTTTTATTCAGTATTATTATTAAGGAACACAGCACAAAAATAGTTGAATAGATTTGAGGTAATTTATATATGGGTCTAAAAGGGTTAGTACAGAGGAATGTAATAACAACCACTCACTATGGTAATGGCATATGGACTTGTGGATTCTTAGGACTTGAGTTTTTGAAGGAGTTAGATATTATGTATAGTCCTTCTCAAAGTCTGTGACAATGTCCATCATATAAAAGTAACCTGTAACATCACTAACATGCTGCAATAACTATTAGCTACAAGAGACTCTTTTAGTTAGACCAAGAAGTGGTTTCCTTCCATCACACTAGGCCCTGAAGTTCTCTACACTTAAAAAGAATGGTGGAAGTAACCTTCATTGTAAGCTGCAGCTCATGTTGTATAGTAAGCTGGCATGCTCATTTAACCAGGGACAGATCAGGTTGTGTAACAGAACACTAAACGGATTCCCACAAAGGAGAAACAGAAGAGCATACAAAGCCAGTTCTCCCTGAATGATGAAAGATTAACAGATTAAAATGAAACAGTGAAAAGACACCAATGTTAAATGTTAAGTTCAGAATTCAATTGAAAACATAAATCTGCATACAAAACTGATAAAACAGAATTAATAAAGGGAACCTGAGAATCAATCATGGTCACAGTAGAGGGAACATAATACTCTTTCAGAAACATGTAAAGTAAGAGCAGGGCATAATCGGAATCACAAAGGAGATGTTTTGGAGCTAGAGAGCATGGTTGTTATGCTAAATCAAAATTTTGTACCCATCTTTGAACAGAAGAAAAGGATGCTGTCAATATCACAGTAAAGGTGGAGGCAGCAGAGAAATTGGATGAAATTGAACTGGTGCATAAAAGGATGATCACAATCAAAATAGAAAAGCCACCTGATCTGGGTTTGATGCATCCTAGTTTCTTAATAGAAGTAAGGATGGACAAGATTATTTGCAAATGAAAAAATGTTCACATATAAAGTAACTCTAACAAAGACCTCCTCAGGCAAATTGTATAATAAATTAAAACAAAGCAAATAACTGTGGGTGTTGTAGATCTGAAACAAAAACAGAAACTGCTGGAGAAACTCAGCATCTGTGGGGAGAAAGCAGAGATAATATTTCGAGTCTGGTGACTCTTCGTCAATACACGCAAAAAGGCAAACTGTGTTCAAGTATCTGGATTGAGGTTTTCTTAATGTAATGGATATAGTTGATGATGGCACTACATATGATATTGAACATATAGGCTTTTGAAAGGAATCTGAGTATGACTTCTTAGAAAGATCAAAACTCTGGGGATCAAAGGCTGGTAGCTGTATGGATACAAAATTAGCTAATGGACAGAAAGTGAGAATAGTTGTGTATGGATGTTTTTCAGACTTACGTTTCCTGTTGGTCAGCATAAGGAGCACTGCTCTTTTTGATGTGTATTGATGATATAGAATTGAGTGTATAGGGTGTTCAGATCACAGAAAATCTGGAAATGTTGTAAACTGTTCATGAGGATATGGACACACTGGTGAAATGAGCAGAAACACGATGGATATAATTTAATTTAATTTCAAAAATGGGCGTATGTACAGAGTCTTTTGTGAAATGGATATAGAAGTCTTTGTAGGTGGCAGTACAATTTCAGAAGGCTGTTAAAACATAAATCAGGAGACTTTGCTTTATTTATGAAGGAATGAAAATAGAGGCAAGGCGTTTATGTCAAAATTTTCTTCAATACTTTGAGTGCAGTTGGCACCAGTCTGATCCCTACTGGCCAACCAAGTCAACCAGTCCCCCAAGGAGCCCAAATTGCTGTGATAACTTACACTTGTCCTTGCATGTTATAGCCTGGTGCAATAGAGGCTAGGCTCATAACATGGTAAACTGGATTGAATAGCAACATTTAATCCTTCCAACACATGCTAGTGGCATATGGTCTGAGGAGGAGAGATTCCTGGTGAGCCATAGAATGGAAATAAGATTGCAGCCTCCATCATCACTTTCTATTGCACCAGGCTATAACATGCAAGGACAAATATAAGTTATCACAGCAGTTTAGGCTCCTCGGGGGACTGGTTGACTTGGTTGGCCAGTAGGGATCAGACTGGTGCCAACTGCACTGTTCTAGTTTGGGTGGTATCAAGATCTGCTTCCCTTACCCTAGCAGGATGTCTCATTGCAAGTCAGATCTGACTTTTTGGGCGGAGAACACGAAGAAGGAAACAGAAGCTTTATTTGAATGGTGTGGAGGTAAGGAGATTAAAGATTTCATTTACATAAAGCAATTAAGAAAACTGAGGCTGTCTGAGAACAGAAACGATCAAAGGGAGATTTGATAAAGATGTGTAAATTACAAACAGTGGTGACATGTGGAAAATGAATTTTACACAATGAATTGATATGGTATGGAATATGCCATCTTAAAAAAATTCAAATACTAACTTTTAAAAAGAAATTAATTAAATACTTGAAGATTTAAAAGTTACTGAGTTGTACAGAAAGAACAGATAAGTTTAGCCCTTTTAAAGCATTGATGCATGCACGATAAGGTGAATGGTTGACTTCTGTCTTCCATCATTCTATGATTCTGCTAAAGCACATGATCGGTATGTTTTTCCACTCATCATGTTTAATCTGCTTCACTCAAATTATGTGATTTATTTCCTCTCATTAAATTTCCACTCTGTGGTATTTTTTACATTGTATAAATGATTGGATAGTTCAAATATTTTTCATACATAAAAATTATTCAGTACATAATGAAATATTAAGTGCACAAATTGGCAATTCCTAAAATTAAATTTAAACAATATATGGAAAAGGCCATTGGCTAGATCGAACTTGGACCAGTTCAGTTTACTTACGCTAGTGCTAGCTCTGCAGAAGATGGAATTCTGAAATAGAAACATATGGAAACACAATTTTAGATCTCAGGTCTGCAAGAAAAACATGTATGTTCAGTGTAAATGCAACCATGCCATGTTGGGATCTTAAGAGCTGGTATTTCTACGTAAAGTGTAGAGTGTTTTAATGATGCAAAAAAACCAGCCGACCTCTATGCCATGATTCCTGACATGTCTAAATTTACCTAGAATAAGATTAAAACTTTCAACTTGACTGACATCTTGTGCCAAGACAAAAAAAATCAAAATTTGCATTAAGTCGACACCGGGCTGAACATGAAAACAGGCAATCAACTCATGACCAGGTTAAGGTTACTTACTTTGTGGATTCTTTAAAATTACAATTGTGATTCCACTTTAAAAGTTAAAGACATTTTTATCATTATTTTTAATTTTACAGAAACAGCAGCATCTCTAACAGTGTTGAATGCAGCCTGTGTGACCTCCATTTGATGTTTGAATAAGAAGTACGTTTCTGTCATAGCGCAGAATAGTGCACATTGTTTATGTTTAAAAGAAACACACCCGTGCTCCACTTTTTGTACATTAGTACTAATAATGACTGAACAGACAGTTTGTTCCGCAGGTCAGAGTGTAACTGATCCCACCAATTGATGCAGGAAATGTGTTGATCTCAATACATCAGCATGTTGTGTATTCCATGCTCCTAAAGGGCAGCATGGTGGCTCTGTGGTTAACACTGCTGCATCACAGCACCAGGGACCTGGGTTCCATTCCAGCCTCAGGCTACTTGTGTGGAGTTTGCATGGTCTCACTGTGTCTGTGTGGATTTCCTCCGGGTGTTCCGATTTCCTCCCACAGTCCAGAGATGTGCAGGTTAGGTAGATTGGCCATGATTATTTGCCCATAGTGTCCAGGGATGTGCAGGCTAGGTGTTCATGCATGGGAAATGCAGGGTTACAGGGACAGGGTAGGGAAGTGGGTCTGGGTGGGATGCTCTTCAGAGGGTCAGTGTGGACTCGATGGGCCAAATGGCCTGCTTCCACACTGTAGAGATTCTACTAAAGTAATGAAAGAACTCATTTAGGAAAGCATCATAGCTGAATCTTTATTTATTATTTTAAGAGTATACAAAAAGACGTTTAAAAGAGCACAGGATCATTTGATAAAGCAATGATTCTACTGAACCATGGAGTTTTTCTATTCGTCTGCAAGATGTAGACGTCACTGTTGGGTCAGAATTTATTAACAATCATCAGTTGCCCTTGAGAAGGTGGTGGTGAGCTGCATTTCTTGAACTGCTGCAGTCCATTCGTTATAGGTACACCAACAATGTTGCTAGTATGAGAATTCTGGGGCTTTGATATAAATATCTATAAATATTTGCGTTTTGGTTTATAAATGTAAGGGATTTACGGTCAGATGGCTAGCTGGACTGTAGTGTATCATCTAGTCTTTCACTATAATGTGGAATAAATTGGCCCTTCATCTTATTTCTCTCAAGGTTTCTCCAGTCTTCTAGCCCCTACAACTTGAGGCTGGGAGTAGAAAAGCCTCAGAATTTGGAATCATCTTTATCTTCACAACTTTAAATAAAAACTATGTTTAAAAATATAGTACCAGTGAAGATACACATGAACATCTGTCCATTTTTTTATGCTGCCCAAGTCCCAGCAGTATACATATAGGTTTTGTTTATATGAAACATACAAACAAGGAGCAGGAGTAGGTCATTTGGCCCCTCAGGCCTGCTCTACCATTTAATACGGTCATGGATGATTAAATTCCTGCCTATATCCGATAGCCTTTTGCCACCGTTTCAAGAGAATATTTCAAAGGCTCACAATCCTCAAAGAAAACTTGTTTCATCTCTGTTTTAAAATTGGTGACAACTTATTTTTAAACAGTGGCCCCTACTTCTAGATTCTTCCATAAAAAGAAACACCCCCTCCACATCCACCCTGTCAAGATACCCCAAGGCCTTATTTGTTACAATCAAGTTGCCTGTTTCTCTTCTAAACTCCAGTGTACCCAAGCCTAGCTGTCCGAGCTTTCCTCAGAAGGCAACCTGCCTATTTCACATATTACACTTCATGTATTAGCCTTCTTCGAACTGCCTTAACACCTTTACACCCCCTCTTAAACAAGGTGACCAGTACTGTACACAGTCCTCCAGATGTGGTGTCACCACTGGCCCATATAACTGAAGCATAAGCTCCTCCTTTTGAATTCAATTGCTTTCATATTAAACAGCCTATCTATATGTTGATGTATTTCCTTATATCTCTTCACAACATAGTTGCTTACCTATCTTTGTGTCATCAGCATATTTGGCAAACAGACTCTTGCTCCTTCATCCAAGTCATTTATATAAATTGTAAATAGTTGAGGTCTCAGCACTGATCCCTGCGGCATACCACTCACCACATCTTGCCAACCGGCAAAGGTCTCATTTATGCCGACTCTCTGCTTGCTGCTAGCCAACTACATGCTTTTTCCTACACCATGAGCTTTCATTTTCTACAATAACATTAGTTGCCCACTCTTAGTCTATCAGGAATTGAAATCCATAATCCAGCACAGGTATCCAATTATTATGACTAGAAAATTGAGAGGCACAGGTCTAAATTCTTGAAATGCACTTCCAATAGGCAAAATGGAATGGAAATTTTGCCCTTCATTAATAATGTAGTGTAAAGATGGTACAACACTGACTTTTCTGAAACAGGGAATGGACAAACTATATAGTAGATGATACTCTTGTAATCTTGTATTATAGTACAGTAGAGGAAACAGACTTTTCAATGAACTTAAATGTAAGTTACCTAGAAATGCTTCATGCTGACCTAAACATTGAAAGCTGTTTAACTACTCAGTGTAAGACCCCCTCCACTTGTTACAAAGAAAAATATTTTATATTCAGTGTAACAGCATTTCATACAAAATCAGTGAAACTTACAGCTGATCAGTGGCGCGAAGCTGACTCTTCTTCAGTTGGGTGAGATCATAATATTGATCAATAACTACATCACTACACAGAAAACACAGTTAAACACATAATTAGCAGAGGCTTCCAACAGGTCACTATGAATTTGATTGCAATCTATTGGTCACTACCATGGTACATTCTTCAGTTCTGGCAAACATGGGAAAACAACACTATTAAGGTGTCAGTAATATTCTTCTAATAATAACCAAATACACATGTTTATATGTAAATGTATATTAAAAATGTATTCAAGTGTATGAAATAGAAATTTGTCCAATGCTACACCAGTAAACAATATTTTTAGGAGGAATAAATAAGGCTGCCACCAAGCTAACAGACCCCAGGTTTATTACCTTCTAAAATGGAATTTTAAAACTCCTCAAATCTGATCTCATACTTCCATAAAATGCCAGACTGTTGTTAGGAAGTAGCAGCTATCAACTGAACATCATATTTATATTTAAATATATGATCTACAGAGGAACTGGGGAGGCAGACATCTAGATTCAGACATGATAAGCCATTAGGCAGGTCAGAGTTGGAGAAGCTGACAGAGGTCAAACCAGCAAACTGCACAGTGTGGTAAATCAGTTTGGTTGAGCTGCAGGCACAGATAACCATGACGGAATATGCTGTTATGCAATAATGGAGACAATGGGGTCAAGGACATAATAATGGGGTCAAGGACATGATCTATTTGATTAGCGTTTAGAAATAATAGATATTATTACACAGTGCATTCTATAGAAGATTCTATAGAAGATCAATAAATGGCAAAGAAACAAAGGAACAAAATAATGGGTATTATGAGGAACTATAATTATCCTAAAATATAATAGGATAATAATAATAATGTACAGGTCAGTGAGGGGAAAAATTTCTTATCCACTAAGGAAGGAGACATTGTTGAATTTGGTGTGTCAAGTGCATTGTTTCAGGAGGAGACAGTAAGGTGTATTAAAAGGTTTAGTTAAACTATAGAGCAGGACAAGGAGCATTCTAGCATAAAAATAATTAATTCAGAAGGGCCAATTTCAATGGGCTGAGAACAGGTCTGAGTGGGTAAATTGGAATCCAGGATTGGCCAGAAAATCTGTTGAGAAACAATGGGTTGGCTTTAAAGGTGGAGGCTTGAAGAGCCATTGGGTTTATTTGCTTCTAGGTTCTGTGTTCATATGTTCTGATACAATTCAGGTACATTCTCAAGAAGGGGAAAGATTGGACAAACAAAGATGGAGCTCCCCAGATTATGAAAGAGATAGGGATTAATCTGATGCAGAAAAAGATGCATATAATAGATGTAAGTTGGTCAAGTTGGTAAACTGAGAATCAGACTGAATAACAAAAGTTCAGAAGAGAATGGATGAGGGAAGAACCACCAATAGAGAGTATCAGAAAAGACTGGCAGGCAACATAATAGGATAACAAGCAATATTATCATTTATTGTGAAGTGAATTGAACACAGAAGTAGGAAGCAATGCACAAGTTATGCCACATCTGGAGTACTGCACATAATATTGGTCTCTGTTTGAGGAAGGATGTAAATACATTTGATGCAATTCATTGAAGGTTTATTCCACTAATATCTGATATCTTGTATGGAAAGGTTGGACAAGTGAGGCTTGTAACTGTTGAAGTTTAGAAAAGTAAGAGGCGACTTGATTAAAACATAAGATGATGAAGAGTCTTGACAGGTTGGATGTGGAAAAGATTTTTCTTTTTGTGTGGTCATCATTTAAAAATAAGGGGTTATCCATTTAGAACAGATATAGGAAGAACTTTTTTTTCTTACAGAGGGTAGTGAGTCTTTGGAATTGTCTTCCTCAAAAGGTGGTGGAAACAAAGTCTTTGATTATTTTTTAAGGCACACATGGATCATCTTTTGTTAAGCAAGTGGGTGAAAGCTTATCCAGAGCAGGCAGAAATGTGGAGTTGTGTTTATAATCAGATCAGTCATGATTTTTTTCAATGGTGAGGCAGCTCGAGGGGCTGAATGGCCTATTCCTGCTCCTAACTTAAATGTTTGCATCCAAGAAATTCAAATGTCTTTAGTAGGCATAAAAATAGTAAAACAGAAGTAACAGTAGGAGTCGGCTAATTAGACACCAAAAGAAGGGATTCATATGCAAAGGCACGGGGCATGGTTGTAATTCTAAAAGAGTATTTTACAATCCATCCACAAAGCATGAACATAGTGTCAAAATCATCATGAAAGCAGAGGTAATTGAAACATTTGATGGATTAAGAATGGATAAAGAGGAAGTATTAGAAAGTCTGGCTATATGTCAAGTTGATAAATCATCAGGACCAGCTGAATACATCCAAGGATACTGAGGGAAGTAAAGCCATGGCCATAGTTTTCCAATACAGAGGTAGTGCTTGAAGAGTCAAAAATTGCAAATGTCTCACCATTGATCAAAAGTTAAACATAAAGCAGTTTAATCTCGGTCACAGGAATGTTTTTATAAATCATAATCCAGATCAAAATTAACAGTCACTTAGACAAATGTAGATGATTTATGGAAAGCCTGAATTTATTATTTGGATAATATCCTGATTTGGATAAAGACAAAACATGTTTAACTAGCTTGATTTTTGGTACGATAACAGAGATGATGATAATACAGTTAATGTGATGTACATGAACTTCCAAAATGTATTCGATAAAATGTCACATGCCAGGCTAGCAAAATTGTAACACTTGGCATAAATGGGCAATGCCATTTCAGCTGTACGAAATTGTGGTTGGGAAGTTGTGAACCTTAAAGCTTAATTGACATGAGGGGAAGGCGGAGTCAGGTTAAAATTGGCAAAAGTTCAAAGGGCATTGAGAAGCCTCAAACTTTCAGATTTTAATTAGGCATGGGTGGGCAGTCAACACATGCCTAGAAGGTGGGGCTGGCATTGTGAATACATTAATGAGCGTGGATTTAAGCCAATTTTCAGATTTAACTGTGGCCTTCCAGGTTTCCCTGTTCTCAAGAACCCCAGCAACAGCAGGCTGGGTAGGAGGAGAAAATATCTTCACACAGTTTCGTGTGGGCCAAGAGAAGCCATACTGCTTCCACACTCCACCCCTCAAGGCAACATATTGGACCTAGGCAGGTCCTGCAAACTCCTTTAGCATGCTCCTTGCCAAGTCAAAGCTAAGCCTGCCAAGCAGTCTGACTTCCAGTCGGGGAATCTCTCATAGTCAAAAGAAGCATCTTGTGGAATTAAAACTGAACAGCATGTGGAAAAGACAAAAGCTCCAGCTTGCCTATGTGTGGTCAAAAACCTCTCTTTACCACACAGCTCCCAGTACGTCAGTAAGTAAAAGATTCCCCTTAAGGCAAGCAAAGAGTCATTATAAACACATGAAAAGGCAATTTGTTATGTGCCAAGGTAAAAGGGTCAGAACTGAATTAAATTTGGAAAATTAGCTGGGCGCATTTTGGCTTTACAGATCAGATTGGTGCTCATTGTTCTTGAAATGTACATCGTAGAAAAATAAATCATAAAATAGAACAGAATAAAACAACAACAATGCTGGGTTTTAACTATAAAACAAAGAATCACTGTAGGAAATGTCCTGTGATAATTATGTTGTGTCAATTTTTTTGGGCATAACCAGCAAATGGTATATTTATTCAGCACTAAGACAGTCAGTGCCAAATCTATGTTTTGAATGTTTTAAACTAATCCTGTTTAAATCAAGAGTTAAACATTCTTTCAGCTACTATCTCCACCTCTATATTCTTTGTGGATTTTGTTACGTTGTAGTTTTCACCAGATTAGAGTTGTAACTAGTTTACAAAAGAATAATTAAATATTTCTTTTAACTATAACAAGTTAAATAAGCAACAAACCCAGGAAGAAGGTATCCACCAAAGCCAAAATGTCTGTGTCCCTTTCCCATTAAAATGGGAAGCTCAGTCTTTGTTTTGAGATTATCAGGTAGATTCATGATTCCGGCACCTCCATATTCTCTCTCAATGCCCCAAGGAGTGCGAGGAGCCTTCGGAGCAGTTTCCAAATATTGTTCATATCTGTGACAGAGAGAAAGTATATTCTGTTTAGTGCATTAAAATGATAAAATGTATTTAATCTATTTATTTAATCTAAAAGGATCAACTGTAAACTGAAGTTTCCACAAGAAGGTTCAATTTACTAATGTATTTACTTGTAGGTAGAGAATGCATGTGTGTGTACACATGTAAAGGGATGTTGCATGGCCATATAAACAACTGAGATTAAGCAGGTATCTTATTAATAAAGAAGCCACAATTCTGTTGAATGGCAGAGCAGATTCAATGAGCTGAATGACCTACTCTGCTCCTATGTCTTATGGTGTAAGCATCAACAAAAACTGTTAAACTGTCTTATATGTAGTAATCCTCTTAAGTATGATTATATTTTCTCACAGCATTGGCAGTTTTGTCTAATGAAACTAAGATTTTTTTTGCGTTTTGCCATTTTCTGTATTCTTGTAAATGACTGCAGTAATTTGCCTTTTGGCTAGTAATTTAAACTTTGCTTGCTAGACTCAAAATGAAAGAAAACAGATTCACTCAGTGACTGAGAATTCCATCATATAAGTTTGACACTGCATCCCCCAATGTATCAGCACCACCACCTAGTGGGCACTATAGGTTACACTCGAATCAGAGATAGTAGGAACTGCAGATGCTGGAGAATCCGAGACAACAAGGTGCAGGGCTGGATGAACACAGCAGGCCAAGCAGCATCATAGGAGCAGAGAGGCTGACGTTTCGGGCCTAGACCCTTCATCAGAAAAGGGGGAGGGGAAGGGGGTTTTGAAATAAATAGGGAGAGAGTTGGAGGTGGATAGAAGAGGGATAAAGGAGAGGATAGGTGGAGAGGAAACAAACAGGTCGAAGAGGCGGGGATGGGGCCAGGAAAGGTGAGTGTAGGTAGGGAGTTAGGAAGGGGATAGGTCAGTCCAGGGAGGACGGACAGGTCAAGGGGGCGGGATGAGGTTGGTCGGTAGGAGATGGAGGTGCGGCTTGAGGTGGGAGGAGGGGATAGGTGGGAGGAAGAACAGGTTAGGGAGGCAGGGATGAGCTGGACTGGTTTTGGGATGCGGTGGGGGGAGGGGAGATTTTGAAACTTGTGAAATCCACATTGATACCATTGGGCTGCAGGGTTCCCAAGCGGAATATGAGTTGCTGTTCCTGCAACCTTCAGGTGGCATCGTTGTGGCACTGCAGGAGGCCCAGGATGGACATGTCGTCTGAGGAATGGGAGGGGGAGTTGAAATGGTTCGCGACTGGGAGGTGCAGTTGTTTGTTGCGAACCGAGCGTAGGTGTTCTGCAAAGCGGTCCCCGAGTCTCCGCTTGGTTTCCCCGATGTAGAGGAAGCCACACCGGGTACAGCGGATGCAGTATACCACATTGGCAGATGTGCAGGTGAACATCTGCTTGATGTGGAAAGTCTTCTTGGGGCCTGGGATGGGGGTGAGGGAGGAGGTATGGGGGCAGGTGTAGCACTTCCTGCGGTTGCAGGGAAAAGTGCCGGGTGTGGTGGAGCTGGAGGGGAGTGTGGAGCGGACAAGGGAGTCACGGAGAGAGTTGTCCCTCCGGAAAGCAGATAAAGGTGGGGAGGGAAAGATGTCTTTGGTGGTGGGGTCGGATTGCAGATGGCGGAAGTGTCGGAGGATGATGCGTTGGATCCGGAGGTTGGTGGGGTGGTACGTGAGGACGAGGGGGATTCTTTTTTGGTTTTTATTGCGTGGACGGGGTGTGAGGGATGAGGTGCGGGAGATGTGGGAGACACGGTTGAGGGCGTTCTCGACCACCGAGGAGGGGAAGTTACGGTCCTTGAAAAACGAGGACAACTGAGATGTACGGGAGTGGAATGCCTCATCCTGGGAGCAGATGCGGCGGAGGCGAAGGAATTGGGAATAGGGGATAGCATTTTTGCAGGAAGGTGGGTGGGAGGAGGAGTATTCTAGGTAGCTGTGGGAGTCGGTGGGCTTGAAATGAATATCGGTTTCTAGGTGGTTGCCCGATATGGAGACAGAGAGGTCCAGGAAGGGGAGAGAGGTGTTAGAGATGGTCCAGGTAAACTTAAGGTTGGGGTGGAAGGTGTTAGTGAAGTGTATGAACTGTTCGAGCTCCTCGTGGGAGCACGAGGCGGCGCCGATACAGTCATCAATGTAACGGAGGAAGAGGTGGGGTTTAGGGCCGGTGTAGGTACGGAAGAGGGATTGTTCCACGTAACCTACAAAGAGGCAGGCGTAGCTTGGGCCCATGCGGGTACCCATGGCTACCCCCTTTGTCTGTAGGAAGTGGGAGGAATTGAAAGAGAAGTTGTTGAGTGTGAGGACGAGTTCGGCTAAGCGGATGAGGGTGTCAGTGGAGGGGGACTGGTCGGGCCTGCGGGACAGGAAGAAGCGGAGGGCCTTAAGGCCATCTGCATGGGGAATGCAGGTGTAGAGGGACTGGACGTCCATGGTAAAGATGAGGTGTTGGGGACCGGGGAATTGGAAGTTCTGGAGGAGGTGGAGGGCGTGGGTGGTGTCACGGACATAGGTAGGGAGTTCCTGGACCAAGGGGGAGAAAATGGAGTCGAGATAGTTGGAGATCAGTTCGGTGGGGCAGGAGCAGGCGGAGACAATGGGTCGACCAGGGCATTCAGGTTTGTGGATTTTGGGAAGGAGATAGAAGCGGGCAGTAGGTCCAGCTATTTTATACCAATGACGTGTTTTACCTTGCTCATTACCCATTGAACAGATTCCAACATTTGTGGGTGTTCATGAGTATAATTCTTAACATTTATTTCATTTTCTATTTGTATAATGAAGCAGGAATGCTTATTTGCTTTGAAGTTTTCAATACTGCAGATTTTGCAAGAAATTGTTGTCAAAAAACATGATAACTGAAGTACTGCCGAAGGAAAACCTACTTTAAAACTCATTTTAAAAAAAGATAACAGGTACTCAGTATTTATTTTAAATAAAGTACACATGGCGCACAACTCCAATGCAGAACAAGATTTATTTTCAAAATTGCGATAGGCCCATTATTTTCCATTGTTCCAAAACATGGTGAACTGGCAGCTCTTCCGATAAATGAAATAAGCCCTGCAACATAATTGGAACAATATTCTGCTGGATACCTTGTCACGTACTTACTAAAATACAAAAACAGTATAATCTTAAAACTACTGACCAAATTATTCTGTGATGCTAATTTGCCTTAAATTTTTGTCTTTGCACCAATGACAACGAACTCAAGATGTTTACACTGTAGGAACATGCCATTCGGCTCACTGTGTCTGTGCTGGTTAACCAAGATCTGACTACATTATAACCTCATTTTGTCAGCTCTTAGCCCTTAGACCTGGAGGCTATGGCAATGCAAGTTCTAAATTTAGCTTAATTATTGCAAGGGTTTCTGACTCAAATACAGGGAATTCCAGACTCCCGCCACTCTCTGGGCGAAAGAGATTCCTCATCTTTCCTCTTAGCCTTCTACCTTTTACCTTCAGTCTATGCCCCCAGCTTCTTGACTACTCCACTATTGGAAAAAAAAGGTTACCTATCCACTCTAACTATGCCCCTCATTATCTTGCATACCTCTATCAGGCCCTCTCTCAACCTTCGCTGTTCCAAAGAAAACAATACCAGTCCACCAATCTTTCTTCATAGATCATACCCTCCAGCCCAGGAAGCCTCCTGATAATTCTCTCCGCACCCTTTGCAGTTCAATCAAATCCTTCCTGTAATGTGATGATCAGAACTTGCAGCAGTACTCTACTTGTGACCTAACCTGCATATTGTACAGTTCCGACATAACCTCCCTGCTTTTGTATTCTGTGCCTCAGTTAATAAAGGCAAGTATCCCATATGATTTCTTAATTATCTTACCTAGCTGCCCTGCCACATTCAGAGATCTGTGGATACGCACTGCCCTACTCTTTTCTGGGTTGAATTCCATTTGCACTGCTCTGCCCATCCAACCAATTCGTTGATATTCTCCTACAGTTTACAGCTGTTCTCACTATTTACCACCTGAATAATTTTTGTGTCCTCCACAAACGTTTTGATCACACCCCTACATTTAAGTCGAAATCATTAAAGTAGACCACAACCAGAAAGGGTCCCAGCACTGAGCCCTATAGTACTCCCCTGGAAACAGACTTCCATTCACAGAAATATCCTTCCACCATCACTCTCCACTTCCTGCCTCTCAGCTAACTTTGAATCCAATGTACCCCTTTGCCTTGAATCCCATGGGCTCTTATTTTCTTGACCATTCTGCCATCTTATCTCAGGTCTGTGTAGACCACATTGAATGCTTTACTCTTTTATCAACTCTCCTGGTTACCTCCTCAAAATGTTCGAAAAAATTTGTCAAACACAATATTCCCTGAACAAATCCATCCTGACTGTCCCTCTTAGTCCACGACTCTCCAAATAAGGATACATTCTGTCCCTCAGAATTCTTTCTAATACCGTCTCCACCACTGAAGTTAGACTGACAGGTCTGTAATTTTCTGGTCTATCCCTTCCTCCTTCTTTCAATAAATGGGACAATATTACCAGTCATCTAGAACATAAGATCCTGGAGCAGGAGTTTTTTTTAATTCATTCATGGGATGAAGGTGTCGCTGGCTAGGCAGCATTCATTGCCCATCCCTAATTGGCCAGAGGGCAGTTCAGAGTCAACCACATTGCTGTGGGTCTGGAGTCACATGTAGGCCAGACCAGGTAAGGATGGCTGTTTCCTTCCCTAAAGGACATTAGTGAACCAGATGGGTTTTTCTTGACAATCGACAATGGATTCGTGGTCATCACTAGATTCTTAATTCCAGATATTTTACTGAATTCAAATTCCACCATCTGCTGTGGTGGGATTTGAAACTGGGTGACCAAAACATATCTGGGTCTCTGGATTAACAGTCCAGCGATAATACCACTAGGCCATTGCCTCCCTCAAGGAGTAGACCATCCAGCCCTTTGAGCCCGCTCTGCCATTCAATAAGATCATGGCTGATCTTTTCATGGCCTCAGTTCCACTTACC